CGGGCGCGGCTCCGCGCGGGCCTGACCCATCATGGCGGCGCGGCAGCTGCTGAGGGCGGCTCCGGGGCGGCGCGGCTACAGCGGCGCGGGCGCCGCCGAGTTCCTGCACCGCAGCATCGTGCCCACCATGCACTACCAGAAGAGCCTGCCCAGGTACGGCGGGGCCCGCCGCTCCGGGGGGACGCGGCAGGGCGCGGCGGCGCCCCGGGTGTCCGCTGTGAGGAGAGGGCAGAGGGAACGTCCGCGCTGGGCACGGCGGTGCGCGGCTCGCTCTGTGCGAGCGGTCCGCAGAGGAGCGGGCTCGGCTTTCCAAGTGCCAGCGTAACCGCTTACAAGCCTGCCACCGAAACATCCCCCTGGCGCCCAGACCCCGTCCGTGAGTGTAACGGGATTGTGCTATAGGAAACAAAACTCAGGCTCACAGGAAGTTGACAAAGACACCGAATAGGAAACTTGTGAGGAAGATGTCCAGCACCCAGCTGTGAGGGGGTAGCCCGAACACGGCTGGCAACTGAGCTCTTCCTTCTACAGAGCTGCCTCTCCTAGCAGCGGTTCCTGTCGCTCTATTTCCTGTAAGGGATTAGCTCCCATCACTGCAGTACCTTTGTAAAAAGTCAGTTTGGGTTTCTGCCTTATTTCCCAAGAACATTATGGTGTCCCTCTAGTTGCTTAACTTATTCCACAAGAAACTTCTGAGACATTAAGATAATGTGCATAAGTATTAGTAAAATTTTTATGTAACAGTATGTACTGTATAGTATGTGTATAATATGTTTGTATGTATAATATATATAATAGTATAATGAAGGATATGGAAGAAAAGAGGCAAAGAGAGATGACTGTGTAAGAAACACAGGCTTCACTCGTACCCTTGCTCATCAGGTGTACATCTCTGTGTTTCACTTCCTTCAGACTACCAATTCCCAAGCTAGAAGATACAATTACGAGATACCTGAATGCCCAGAAACCGCTTTTAAACGCTGACCAGTTCAGGTATGGACAAACACACATTGCAGTGTCACGTTCTGCTTCAAAGCCAAGTGTTAACATAAGAAGTGTGACTTGTGACAGCATCTTGGCACTTTTCTTGATTGTTGTAGGAAAACTGAAGAACTTGCTCATGCCTTTGAAAAGGGGATTGGAAGAGAGCTGCATGAGCAACTGGTTGCTCAAGACAATCAGAATAAGCATACAAGTTACATCACAGGTACGTTGGCCTGCTGGGTGTAGGACAGGTCTGTAGATCATCATACTTTGTAACTGCTCATAATGCCATAAATATAATAAGCTGAAGCTTTAAGTAGCCCAGAAACTTGGAATAACCTGCTGTGAATGCTGCGACTCAGTCTGTAGAGAATATCAGATTATTTCACAAAAGCTTCTGTTTGGTTTGTTGTATTTTACTTTCCATTCACTTTGAACAACAATTTGTGTTTTAAGTGGTATCTTTATGTTGTTCAACAGTGCTAACCAGTCCGCTGCTTTTTGCCTATGAATGGTGGGGTGTCTGTATTGCTTTTTGTTCACTTAATGTTATTCTTTATGCATCATGAAAGACCTGTTCCTCTTGAAATTGGTTTCTGAAAGAATGTAGAGCTGTCTCCACCCTGGCATTAAAAGGCTATGTGTTGATGTTGATATGGTTTTAAAACTGTAGATGAGTGTTGCTTACCCATCACTGAGAACCTGTAATTAAAGTTGTAACTTAGTCTCTGGAACTACCCATTGCCCTTCTTACAGTCCAGGTAGAAGGTTCAGCCTTCTAACCTCAGCAAGATGAACTCAGTGGCAGAGAGTTGTAGAAATTAATAGTTTAAGAGTACGGAAAGGCATGAACCACTCTAAATATGAGGCGTGCACCAAAACAGAGCTGGGGAGCTGCACTGTGTGTCCTGGGAGTTAAGGTTTATCATCAAGCCATAAAGAAAACAGGAAGTTGGCCTTTGTTGCTAATGACATGGACACCCTTGAATGGATTATTCCAAACTGAGTATTTTTATGATTAGCCAACACTATCCTTCTTAATAATGGGGGTTTGGAGAAGCCTTGGGTGAGTTATTTCATATGTTTGTCTTGTTTAAAGGCATTTTAGTGTGTGTTTATTCATGATCACTGTTGGACTACACAACCCTCTTGTCTGACTCAGGAAGCTGATTTTATGTTCTGACCTCTTTCTCTCAATTTTTAGGTCCTTGGTTTGACATGTACCTAAAAGCACGTGAGCCTATTCTTTTGAATTTTAATCCATTTATGTCTTTTAATCCTGATCCGAAATCAGAATACAATGATCAGCTCACACGAGCTACAAACATGACTGTTTCTGCCATACGTTTTATGAAGACCTTCAGGGCTGGTTACCTTGAACCAGAGGTTTTTCACCTCAATCCAGAAAAAAGTGACACTGAGATCTTTAAAAAAATTATCCGATTTGTGCCTTCTTCGATTTCTTGGTTTGGTGCCTACATGGTCAATGCTTACCCCCTAGATATGTCTCAGTACTTCAGACTTTTCAATTCTACACGGATTCCTAAGCTCAACAAAGATGAGCTTTATACAGATGAAAAGGCAAAACATTTATTAGTGCTGAGAAATGGAAATTTTTATGTGTTTGATGTTATTGATAGAGATGGAAACATGTTGAAACCCTC